GGCCAAGCAACTGGTACTTCCAGCCTTCTTCAGGCCCAACAGAGTATTAGCTATACTAGCCTTCATGGCCATCATAGTTGCACCCTGATTAATCGATCAACCAATTTCAAATTTATTAATAATCTTACTTATCCAATCATGAATACCGACAAAGTACTTTAAAAAAAGGAAAAAAAAGAAAGAGAAGAAGAAAACAAGAAAAAATATAAATAACCGAGCCCTCGATCTCGCTCTTGATTATTTTCCGTGTAAAAAGCTTAAGTTATTCAGTAATAAAGTAAATGTTTTAATGACTTACAAAATTCACAAATACTCAACATTAAAAGCAAGGCCAAGGTGCAAACCTACAAAAAACCTTCACCTCCCTATTATGCAGATGATCAATTTTATTGCCAACAATAAAGTGAATCACACTTAACAGTTGTTTTTCTATGTACAAAATACCAAGAATACTATTTCAAGTATACATTAATTGCCCAAAAACTGCAATTCCTTGATTACAGTATTGCATACTGTACGATCAAATATAACTAGTAAAGCGTAGATATGCATAGTGAATATTTATAATATTTCTTTCTTAAAATTCCGCTGTAACGACAATTGCATAATAAAATTTTCTTTCAAAATTAATATACAATTTTTTTTCAATAAAAATATAAATTATGTATGTGTGTGTATATATATATATACATATATACATACATATATATACATATATATGTATATTACATATTCAATAAATTTCAATTCAGAGATTTAACTTTAAATTCTAGATTATCTTAATTATAATTGTTTCTAAAAGTGACATATTGGCTTTGACATTATCACAATCAAAAAACGAATAAGAATTTATGTTTAAGGAATTGTCAACTACAGCATTCATTGCTATCTTAAAATGTTATGTGAATTTAAAAATCAGTAAGTTGACAATATCATTTCCGCGTAATAAAAATTTTTATTACGTCTTGAGTACCTGTACATTATCTTCACAACTGGTTAGAGAAATCTCTGGACCTGATTCCCCAATTAGAGTAGGCTCTATTTCATCAGCTTCTAATGCCATTGTTGTTATACTTTCGGCTCCACATGTTCCTGATGCTTGGCAACGAACTTCGCATTTTTTATGACACACCATGCCACAATCTCTGCACTGCACTGCATCCTTTAGCCAAATCTATATAATGAAGATATATGTAATTTTATTATTCAATTTAAAATGTATTTACATACATATAAAGAAACAAATAACAGTAAAAAGTTAGACCTTCTTTGTACAAAAATCGCAATGTGTCGCTCTATGGAAATGAGTTCTAATAAAGTCGTGCAACTTTTTTTCAACAATTTCTTCGCTTAAAGGCGGTTGTGTCTTAATAGTTTCTGCATTTTCCTTTTTTCCTGAGTCACCAGCCATGTAACGATTCGGATAACTAGATTCCCATACATAAGATAATAAAATATCACCATAACAAAGTGTTGGATCAAATCCTGAATACCCTTGTAGTTTTGGATGAACCGTTGCTAAAGAAGCTTAAAACAGCATGCAAAATTAGTATATAATAAATGAAAATAAATATATTAGTGACAATTTAGTAAGAACAATACATACCACTATCTGGTGGTAATAAAGCATAGCATTTAAGATAATGACCAGTTGAAGACGTATAGCATTGTGCTAGAATTAATTTCATAGGGACGTTAATATATCCTAATAATTTTGCCTGAATTTCTCCTCTGATACGACCCCATACTCCGATATTTAAATACTGAAGTTCTGAATCAATTTGAAAAGTTCTAGTTTCTTCAAAAGTAATTAAGGATGCATGTTCTTTCTCTTTAGTAGTATAATATAAATCTGATATATTTGTTACATATGTGTCATCGTTAAAACAAAATTGAGAGCTACTGAATATTATTGATTGATTCGAAGTAGTTGAAATTTTTCTGGAAGGTGTAGTGTCTGGTGTTTGAACAATATCATCAGTATGTGCGCTGCTTTTTCTTCTCTTAAAAAGTTTACTGCTCATTTCCAACTTATCGGAAATTTCATTTTCACAATCCTTCAAATCTGAAAATTTAATTTGGCTTTCAAATTTGATTTTAGTATCTTCGGTACTAGGCATATCATTTTTATTTAATGCAGAATCAATTCTTAATGTTCTCCTATCGACTCCTCTTTCTGTTGATATCCTTTCACTATCCAATTTCATATTAGTTTGTTTGTCCAAATCTGCTTTAGAGTATTTTCTTTCAACCCTTATAATAAAACGCCTTTGCACAGCACTTTTTACAAATTTAGCTACTTGATTCATGTTAGACACTTTTTTGCCATCTACTGCTATTAAAATATCTCCTTTTTTCATTTCAGCAATTGCAGCAGGACTTCCAGCTATTATAGTTTCGACTAGCACACACACATGACCTATTTCTGGCACTAATTCTTGCTTAAATACTACACCAAGTTGCTGAGAACCAACTTTACTAATAATTAAATCCAACACCATATAAGGAACTCCAGTATATTGAGTCAGATATACCCAAGGTGTTGAGTCTATACTTATTGTACAATATATTTCAACTTGTGATTTATCCTCTGTATTAAATATATTAGGTCCAAGATTTAATCTAGTCACTTCTACCAGTGATACTTCCAAATAACCTGGTGTTAATTGCATGTTCGCAACCTGAACAAAATTTTTAAAAATTTATTAAATATATGTAATAAATGTATTATTTTTCAATTTTTATAATATTTAAAATAAAAATATAGCTTACTTCGGATAAATCTACTGTTTCATCGTTCAGTCTACGGAAAAATGGTTTATAACGCATTTTATAGCGAGGTAATGTATGCTTCCTACGTACAGCTCTTCGAATTTGTCCTGTGATCAAAGAAATGATCTGTGGTTGTAATTGACGACCTTGAAATTGGGATTGCACTTCCAATTCAAGTATGGGATCTGAATAAAAACTTAAAGACCAATGAGTATATGGTACACGTGTGAACTGCAACCTAGCTCTGCCACTGATACGTTTCACTGAAAAAGATATCACTAATTACATTCAACTAAACTTAAGTATTATATTTAGGATAATTTTTTAAATTATCAGCATACCTTGTAAAGCCATGTATGCAGTCTTTCCCAGTAGCATTTTAACATCTATTGATAATTGAAAATTTCCAGAATAATGTAGATCTAAAGATAAATCCAATGTCTCCAATAAACCTGTATCAGCATCTATTTTTGAATCTGCAACTTCTAAACCTTTTATCGTGGGAAATTGTGAACCAAGATTTAGATCTCTTAGCTGAAAATACATATCTATTAATGTAACATTAATAAAATGATCAAATAATATTTTTAACTATATACTTTACTTGTACACTATCTAATAATTTGCCTGTGGTTGATTGAGTTAATAATTCTTTGAACTCATTATTTAATTTTCTGTATAACCAAAGGCGCACTCTCTCAGCATTTCTAAGTTCATTGAACAAAAATTGCAATGTTAAATTTATTGCCAAGTTCTCATTGCCTTGGCACATACCCTGACGCGATATACTTATGGAATTTGTTTTTTCATCTTGAATCTTATCAAGTAATTCCTTAGGTAATTGGGCCTTGCCATGATGAATTGATTTTCTTGGTGAACTTGCCAGAGGCGCTTGTTCCAAGTACTTTTTGAACAAGTAAAATTCCAGTACAAGTACGAATATTATACCACATACAAATGCAATCACAGATATCCAAATAAATTCAAAAATGTCCATATTAATATATCATTTGTTGGAAACTCGATAGTTTCCTTAAATAATACAAATATTTTCACCACTAGAATTAAAAAATGTTCACACAAATTGTAGAAACAGCCACTCTCTTGTGAGGCAGGTATAAAACAATAATTATGTAAAAATATTGTATTTCGAACTTTTTCAAGTAATGTTTATGTGAAATATTAGGAACTCCTATAATATCTATAATTTTTAGTTGATCATAAAAAAAATATTGTTTTTATAATGCCGTATTACATTGTGGTGAATTACTCTCGTTTCACGGGTCAACAGTTATTCAGAACACTTTCACCTGCCATTATGAATCGAAGTTACGACATTTTCGTAAAGACACGAATAATTTTCGTGATATTCATGTTCACAAAAAAATGCTCATGCAATACATTTTAGAAAAACTAACAACGCCGATGAGCATGGGCAGAAGGTATCATGACAGTTTTCTATTGATTTCGGCAGCCATATTAATGTTAAAGAAAATAATGTTAAACTTGTCAATTTGACAAACTTGTTGACTGTTTACCTAAGGCATGATAAATAGGCATGATAAAAGGCATGAAATATTTATGTTTATATTTTTTTATAATCTTACATTATTATATAGCAAACAGATTGCCTGAATCTGAATGAATATCGTTACTGTAATGTTTTTAAAGCTTATTTACTACGTGCAATTATAAAAATTATAAAAGTTCTTTTATCATAGTTGTTATATTCTTCTAGGAAAGAGAAGATATGATAATTAATATTTCTGAACAAAGTGAAAGATAAGAAAACATGATGAGACATTTTATAAATCAATATCACAAATAAGTTATATACGCTAAGGGATTATTTAGATTCTTTTCGAAAGAGAAGATTTGTTAATTGATAAATCAATTCTTTCATTTCACATATCGTCACAGATAGGTATCAATAAAAAGGAATCATTTAATTTTGACATATATATGTATATATCGAATAACAATCAGCTGATGGTATAACCTCATAAATTTGTTTGTAGAATAAAAGATCAAATTATATATAATACTTATGATATTATATGTATAATTTATGATATTAATTACAAATAATAGCCATTGTAAGTTTTAAAAACAAAGAAGTTGACTTTTATATGTAATATAAAAGATTGAAAAACATACGATTGTCTTCTATAGATATACGAAATTTGGATCTTTAATTTTTGCAAACAAATGCAAATTATTTTGTTAGAATGGCAGCTTTAATGAAGAAAAGAGTATTAGCAGAGTTTAACCAGAGTCAGGTAAATTAAATGTTTGTTTTTAGAAAAATTTTGGATTAAATATTTCATTTAATTAAATATCATTTATAGGTTGTAAATGATCCACCGTTAAAGAGATTAAGAACATTACGTCTTATATCTAATTCGGGCAGTAAAAATGGAATAGAAGGAAGTTCAGCATTAGCTTATATTGAATGCCTTGAGAAGTGTAAATGTGGCAATGATGCATTACAGCTTCTTGTTCGTATATCTGATACAATTGCGTACATTTCTCCAGAGGATGTTCCTTCTGTTGTAAAAAAATTATCAGAGAGATTTACCATAGAAACAGAAGCGGCGGTTCGTGCCAAAATACTTTGGATATTTGCTGAATTAGGGGAAATAACAAATGATTCGATAGAAAAGACAAAAATTGTTAACGAAACAGCTGAACTTCTGAAAAACGAAGAATCACATAGGGTAAAAAGCCAAGGGCTAGCAACATTGTTAAAGTTAGGAGATTATCATAGGTATTATATATATATATTTGAAATTTATTTCTTTTAATAATAAAAAGGTTAAATTATTTGAATAAAAAAGAAAAATCATATGCATTAAATTGTAGGACTCTTGTATTAAAAATTGCTCGTGAGCATTTACCTGATACTTGGCATGGTGTACAAACACGCTGCCTTTCTATTATTGGTAGATACTTAACTGCAAATATTACAGATGATACTTTGCCACTCGTTAGTAATTATGCATATTCTCAAGATCCAAGGGTACGTGCGCAAGCATTTGAAACAATGGCTGAACTTCACTCTTATAGAGGTTGTAGATTACCTGCAAGCTTTTTTGGAGAAGCTTGTACTGCTCTCAGAGATGATTATGAAATAGTTCGTAGAACTGTCCTCAAATTAATATGGCTTTTAGGCAGAGAATACCCTGAAAAGTAAGCAATACTCAAAATCTATTTCAACGTATTATCAATATTTATTGTCAATTATATTAATTTATATTTTGCAGTATCATTGTAGGGACAGATGGAGAAGATATACGTATGGTGGATTGTGCATTTTCTCAAATTTGTAGCCTTATGGGCGACTTATCTCCAAGAGTTAGAGCTTCAGCAATGTCTCTTCTAGGAACAATGAAAGGTGTATCACAAAGATACATAGAACAAGCATTGGATAAAAAGCAAAAAGTTGTAGAAGCAGATAGACCAGAAGTAGAAGAGAAAAGTGGATCATGCGGTGCCTTTATTCACGGTTTAGAAGATGAATTTCTGGAGGTAACATCATAATTTATTTATTTATTTTATGATTTTTATTATTGGTAGTTAAAATAAATAAATATATTCAGGTGAGAACAGCAGCAGTTGAAGCTCTTTGCACCTTATCCTTGGAACAACCAAACATAGCTAGAATTTCATTAGACTTTATGGTTGATATGTTTAATGATGAAATTCAAGATGTACGATTAAGAGCTATTGAATCATTAAGAAAAATGTCTGCGAGTGTAACGCTTCGTGAAGATCAATTAGAAACAATTTTAGGGGCACTGGAAGACTTTTCAGGTGAAGTACGAGAAGGTCTACATGCTACCTTGGCTGCTAGTCAACTTGCCACAAGAAATTGTCTTCACATGTGTGTAAATCGTTTACTTGATAATTTAAGTCGTTATCCACAAGATAAGGAAAGTATTAGAAATTGTTTAGCAGCATTAGGGGCTTCGCATCCATATCTGACATTACCTTTAGTGCCGCAACTTCTTGGACGGCATCCATTTTTTGATACACCAGAGCCGGATGTTGATGAACCTTCTTGTATCCTTCTAACTAGAATTCCAGTTTTCTTTATAAAATATAAATTATATTAGCAATCTTATTTTTAATATTCTTAACCATAAATAACAGATGCAAGTGTGCTGGTTCTAGTATTCAATGCTGCATTGCATTGCCCAAGCATGCATGCTCTTTTTACAGAGCATGCATCTAAACATTATCATTATTTACGCGATACGATGCCACATTTAGTTCCTCGATTACGACCAACCGTAACAAGTGGATCAGATTTTGGGAAAGAAGATAAAATTGACGAGGAAGCTGAACGTGGAAAAGAATTTCTGGAAAAAGTAGTTACCGGTGTAGAAAATGCGAGACCAGGTGGTAGAGTTCACACACAACTTTTAGAAGCTGCAGCTGTCGATCTCGATCGTTTAGCGGAGATGGATCATCGTATGGAAGGAGCTGCACGTTTCACTGCTTTGTATATAAGATGTTTATTACTTTTAAAATCTATATTAAAAGAATTTTCAATATTGTCAACGAATTCAGTATCTACAAGTCCATTGCCAAATACAACTACTAATGTTTCAGTTCTTCTTCAAAATACTCAAAAGTATGTAGTTGTAACATTTTTTATATTTATACGTGAAAATATTCATATATACATAATTTATATAAATATTACAGATTGCAAAGATTATTTAGCGGATTAAGTGAAAACGAAATCATATTAGCCAATGATGTGTGGTTGAAAGCATTGGCAGTAGAACTAATTCGAGTAACAAGAAGTGTGACAGGGAGAAGTGCTCTTCCACTTGCACGCCACTTTTTGTCTGAAGCTGATATTCTACCTCAAGATACGACAAAATTACCGTCTTTTTCCAGAGCTCTTGTACTTCAAATCCCAACCTTAGCTGATGTGAAACCAGGATCTTTAACACGAATGCTTTTACCATTATTATTAACGCCAGCATTGCAAGGGGAAGAGCGTCTCCCAAGACCATCAGTATCTACTCGATTCTGTAGAGCAATTATTGAAGAACCCAGAGGTGACGCAGATGCGGCTTTGAAATTTACAGGAGGACTTCTATTAGGAATTCCATTGACAGCAAAAATACTGAATTTACGAGATCCTAGTATTTTACGCATTAAATTGAGGCATCCTGATCAACAAGTACAACTATTGTTACCGCGTCAGTCGGATTTGCGATTGCAGAATACAGAACAAAATGACTACAGATTGAGAACTACAGTTTTACTATCACATCAAGTTTGGATGGAAGCCTGCAACGTAGAAATATCTCTTGCACTTCTTGTACCATCTTCAGCAGTATGTACGCATTCCCCTCTTGATGATCCATGTGTAATAGATCTTTGCAAACCGACTAAAGTATCAATTGCACCAAAACCTATAAAACGAGGTATCTAAATATATTTTTATATTAGCATTATTTTATAAAACTTTTTATTGTAAATAAATTCTATACATATATATAGATTTTATTTTTGTATAACACAGATGTCAGCAATGTTTTAATACTAATGCTTGATTTATTTTATAAAAAGTAATTATAAATACATGATTTAAACAGACTGAGAGAACACAGAAAATCTATTTCTTTAATAAAACATATCGTAACGAGTGATTTATTTAATTTACATATTTGTTGACTACCGCCAAGTGGAGAAAGAACTTCCACTGTAACAAAAAATACATTAAACATTTTTTACATTATGGATCTAAAAAATTAAAAAAAAAATTTAATTGCTAGCTTACCTAGTGAATACTGGAGATTTTGGTACGTCAGCACTTTTTTGTGCTAAACTACTGAAACTAAGTCCGCCTGATTGATTTGCCAAAGATTCAAATGTGCTACTACCACTTACATTTCCGAAAACTTTTGGCATATTATTATCAATTGGAGCAGGACTTCCTCCCATAGTAGGTGGACTTCCAAATGCTGTTTTACATATTTTTAGTAATTAAATTTTATTTTTAAATTAAAAAAAATACAAAATATAGCAAGTTTATATTATTATTAAATTAAAGAAAGTATAAAGTATAGAAATGTATGTATTATTTACCTGGAGGAGTGGCACTGACTCCAAATGCCGTTGTTCCAAAAGCACCACCAAAAATTGGTTTTGGTGGTGCAAACGTTGGCGGTGACCCAAACACTGGTTTAGTGTTAAATGAAGGTGTCTGCCCAAAGACAGGTTGTGCACCTAATACAGGTTGTTCTACACCCATTGGTGGTGTATTAGCTGCAGCACCACCAAATACGGATGGAGATCCAGCTGAAGATAATCCTGAAGTAACATTGTTTGCTGCACCACCAAAGAAAGATGCAGAACCAGTGTTTGATGCCGAACCAAAAATAGAGTCAGATTTTGGAGCATTATTATCAAAGATGGACATCTGAACTCCAAATGTATTTATCGAGGAGGTATTTCCTCCAAATATGGAACCTGGTGAGGATACTTGGGTGTTTCCGCCAAATATCGAATTAGTATTACTTCCACTGAAGATAGAACCACTAGTAGAAGCTGTAGTCGTTTTGCCAAACATAAATGTGTTTGGAGAATTTCCGAAAGGTTTAAAAAAAGGAATATTAGTATCTGGTTTTCCAAACGTATTAGCTGTTGAAGAAACTGCTGGCGTAGTTGAAAATTGAGAGTTTATTGTAAGAGAAGGTTTATCAAAAACTGGAGTAGCTGTACTTGTTGCGATATTTCCGAATGTAAGTGCAGATGAAGTAGGAGTAGTAATAATATTAGTAATAGCGGTAGTAGTAGTAATAGTAGGAGTAGTAGTAGTTACAATAGAGCTAATAGTAGTAGTAGTTGCTGTAGTACTAATAGCAGTAGCAGTAGCAACAGTCGTAGTAATGGTGATAGCAGTAGTAGTAGTGGTAGTAATATTGCTAGCAGCAGTAGCGGTACTGATGGAACTTGGTGGTAATATAATGGTACTTTTATCGAAAGGTTTTGATAAAGCACTTTGGAAAGGAGTAATAGTAGAAGAAGTTATATTTGCTGTTGTATTTGATGCTGTGAAGAAACCACCAAATAGTGGCATAGCTGAAGTAATCGTAGTTTGTATAATAGACGTAGCGGTCGTAACAGTACATGTAGTTGTTGTTGGAGTAGAATTTGATGTTTCTTCACATACAGAAGTATTCAATGTATTTTTTAGAATGCTGAACAAAGGAGTGGCAGAAGATTCATGTAAATCTTGTACAGTACTTGTTGGAAGACTAGAAGTTGATTCAGAAAGAGGTGCTTCTTCGATCGTAACAGATCTATAACACAATTTATTTACGGCAGAAATTTGGTTTCCATCAGATGAAGAAACAGCAGGTATTCCAAACGTAAGTTTGGAGTTATATTTTTCATCTGCAGTAGTACAAACTACAATACTATTATTGGCAGATATACTAGATCCTTGATTAGTCGTCTGAAGTCCTGTAAATGATCCTGCTAAACTTAATACATCTTGTGTTTGAGATTTTGTTGTTGGTGATGTCATTTTTAAGTTGAATGGAGTAGTAATGTTTGACGGTTTTGAAGCAAAAGAAAATGTCTGTGCATTTGTTGTTTGTGATGTGACAAATGTACTCTGTGTAGTAACAATTGGAGTAGCGAAACTAAATGTAGATATTGCTTTAGTTTTTGCTGCTGTTATTGGTAATGTCATTCCAATATTCGGAGTAGTTGTTTGTATTTTCTCTAACGAAGTCTCTGATGGTAATACATCTTTCAATGAATCATTGAACAAAGTATTTTCTGGTTTAATAGTATGCAGCCACATTGATTGGATAGTTGAATTCTGTGCTGCTGTTCCTTCTGATTTCTGTGCTGATGTATCAAATGTAATAGTATCAACTTTAGGAAAAGATTTCATTAAATTAGATGAAGTATGCATCTGATTTAATGTAATAGTATCTTGTTTTGGCTTACTATTTTGAAGTGCTGTAGTAGTTGTTGACATACTAGATATTTTTTCTATTTGAACAGGTTTACTACCAGATACAGGTGGAAAATATATAATTCCAAAACTTGGCTGTTTGCTTTGTATTTTTTTTTGTGTTGATACATTATTAGATTCACTTGTGCATTCATTTGTGCCAATACCTGCTACAATACTAGCCATAGAATCTAAAGGATCAATATATAAATTCTGTTGTTTGGCAATTGTACTTTGTTTGGAAACAGATTGATCCACTTTGTTTTTAATATTAATGTTAGCAGTATTGGGAGAAGTTAAAGAAGACAGAGTTGCTTCTAAACGATGTTGAATAGGTGAAGGGTTGACAGGTTTTATGATCTTTGGAGTACAAGTAGATAAATGTTTTCTCAATTTAATTTGTTTTTCTTGAGTAAAACTCAAAGTTTTAGAAGCAATCGCTTTGCATCGCGCTTCTATGATTCCTGTATTTCTTGGAAGAGTGACTGAAGATTTTGATGATGTAATAGTTAAATTGGATAATGAACGATTTAATCCAAAAATACTATTACTACGAATAATCAATTTCCATCTTTTTTTAAGATATTCTACTTTGCTTTTTTCTTCTTGTATAATTTTACTATGTAATATGAGATTTTGATACACAAACTCTAAATAAGGTATTTTCATTCGTGACATTTCTTGGGATTTATGATTTGACCATTCTAAGTCCAAAATTTTACTAGCTTGAGTCAGTTGTGTTTGAGTATAATAATAAAGTTTCTGTAAATCAGATATTTTATTACTATCTCCACAATTTCTAGTCGTAATATCATTAGTTGCTGCATTTTTTGACTTCGTTTCTTCAACCCAAGCAAATGATTGTAGCAATAATGCTTTTAAATATGCTATGTCGCTAGATAAACTATTTGTTGTTTCTTTCAATTCCCGTAAGAACTGATCTATTATAATAGATGTATCTACAAGCTTCCGACGTTCTTCTTCCGTGTCATATTCTAATATTTGTGGTTCTAATCTATTACGTAATTCTTTCTCAAATAAATTATGTTCTTCTATATATGCACGATTATCTTTAGCATCATCATCTGCAGATGATTTTGGTTCTACAGGCTCGTGCGTAATTATTTCTTTGACTGCTGTTAATTTAATATCCGGTTTTACAATTTCTTGAGATTGAATTTCTCTGGTTGGTTCCAATTTCATACCTATACTAGGTTGTTCAGATTTGTGCTCTTGTTTTGGTTTTTCAGTTGGAGATAGAGTAAAACTAGACTTTTGAATAAATTTGTTCAAAATATTTCCTGCAATAGGTGGTTTTGAACGCTCAAAAGCATTTTCTGGTTGCTTAGCAAGTGGTGTACTAGTTATTGGTATACTATTCATAATAAGGGATGTTTCAGATCCTATGTTTGATTGTGTTTGTAAAGGATTTGCAATAATTTCTGTAGGCGGAGAATTAATAGGAGAACAATTGGGAGTCAGATTTACCATATGAAAGCTACATAATTGTCCAGATGTTGCAAGAATATGAAGTATAGGAACTGGATGGGGCAAAGTAGAATCTGCTCCCCATGGCAAATTTTTAACTGGAGATCTGTCGATAGCTAAACCTACTGGATAGCTTTCTGTAGTGTGAATCAATGGTAATTCAGCTCTGCCACTATCTACCAACTGCCACTGATTCCAAGTGACACCTTTATCTGTAGATCCTAATACAGCTATTTCACTGCTGTTGCTACTAGCAGCAATAATTAAGCCCCATTCTGGTACATGATCAAAATAATAACGAGGAATTGTCCCTTCTGCTTCTGAATCTGTTACTCCATAAGTAATATCTTCATAACAAGTAAAAATAGTATTTGTTTCACCTTTAGGAGCATCAATCATAAGAACATTAATTCCTTGTTCATTGCCGAAATAAGCGGCACAAAATTGATAATTGCTGATCCATAAAATACTAACAACTTCACCAATGTATGGATTAGGACCAGGAATTGTCCTTGCTATTTTCAAATCAGGTTTAAGCTGTACTATATTACCATTTTTACACCCTACAACAATTTGCTTTCCCTTAGGACTCCATGCTGCACATAAAGCATTTATATCATTAAATTTCTCTAAAGCTTTCAGTTCGATTGCTTCTTTTTTCTTTTCTTTTATTTTAAAACTACCAACTGTATAATCGCTAGCTACTGTACATAACATTCCTGGTACAGCAGGATTCCATCGTAGATCATTTGCAAATATATCTCCATTTGATGTAGAAATTCTGATTTTATGTAGTAATTGTAAACTCTAAAAAAAAGGAACATAATTACAATACACTTTAAATTATTCATATATTATTTAAAAAAAAAAGAAATTTTAAATAAAAGGTTTTACATATATACATTTGTAATAAGTGCCTGTGCATCATAAATTAAAATCATAGGTTCATGAGATGCCACTGCTAAGTAAGAACAATCACAGTTAAGTGTTAATTTAGATACAACTAAAGGTATATTAAATTCTATTTTCCATTCAGGGTCAGTGTCATCTGGTTTCAATATAATTATTTTATTATTTTGTCCTGCATATAGCAGTCCCCTTTTTTTATCTGCAGCCAATAAACTGCATGCAGTTGGTATAGATATGAATGCATCTAAAATTTGTGAAATACATGACTGTTTGAATTGAAAATCCTGAAAAATAGTTGCATTAGAATAAATATCACACAAGTATAATAAAAAGAAAACAAATATTACAACTATTTTCTTATATTTGAATGTAACAGAATAATTACATTATCTGATAAGATTTATCTATATAAATACTTGCTTTAAAAATATATTTTGGTAAGGTTATATAAGCTATCAATAATTATACAAATATTAACAATTATATTTCTAACACGTAACGTATAATACCTGAATGTCTTTTGGGTCAGATGCAGTTTTCATGTTTAATTATTTAACAACAGTCTTAAATAAAATTTTTGACGTATAAATAAGCGTCAGACTTTCGGCAGGTTAATTTCGAAGTAAACGACAGTAACAACAGTTGTACAATCTTCGATTACGTAGATTAAGACTGAACTGCGCATCTAATATTTCTTGCAGTAAACGCTTTCAATCCTAGTGTCGCAAACTTACAAATATTCAAATTGAATTTATGTTAAAAAATACTTGAATAATGTAACAAAATTTATTAGAAAATATTATAATTAACATACTTTTAATTAACAATTTTTAATATTTCTTCTGAAATTTTCTTTTCTTTTCCATAGAATAATGTATTACTGCCATTAAGAGATTAAATGATTTTTTACTGACTAGTGAATTATAAATGATGACGCTTCACTGTAATAAAATTTTATGACGAAACTGTTTTTTAATATCTGTAATTAATATTTACAAAATAGTTGACATTTTGACTCTACTCTAAAATATCCATATTTCCAATAAAAAGAATGATTGGAAGAAGGATTTTTAACAATTTGAAAAAATTTTGAAAAAAATTATAACGATAGAGTTTAGTAGAAGGTTCATATATTCTCATCTGTGATGTTTAGTTTAAATCAACCGCCGTGAAACAATCACAATCCATATTTTTCGTTCTTTGAATCACCGATAATCCTTCTCGTAAAAGAGAATTTTTATTTAAAACAATGAATGTAATTTTATAGGATAATTTAATTTTAATTGGAATCGTTATTCGTTACTTATTCGTTTATTATTTATTATACCGAATTGTTAATATCGCATGTGATACAAAAATGGTAAGAGAATAAAACGTAAGACACGAAAAAGCATTGTATGTTATATCTATTCTCTCTTTAGTCAATAGTATAATTTTAAATACTATTATATTCTAAATACTAAAAATTTATGTCTTATTTTTTAATCTCCTGCGTTTATTACAATAATTACAATTAATCTAAATTTTGTTCTTTGCACTTCTAAAATTGCAATTTCTAAAATTTAAAATCAAATTTCAAGAACAGCAAATTTTGTTTAGAAAACAACGTTTGTTTAGAAATTTTGCTTCTGATATAACGCGGAACTGGAAAGATGATAAGTGAGAGGAATGCAGCTCTGATTGTTGTTTTGGATAGATTTAATATATTTTTTATATATAAGCACGTCTATTGGCTGAAAGTATCACATACCAAACAAATTCGTGTAGCACAGTGTATCGCTGAGTGATGAGAGGTAACTACTCTCTACTTCTCTGTAGTTCTAGTATTCTGCATTTGAAGATCGGATATGGTGTTTCCGTTTGATCACGTGTGATTTGATTAGAATTTCGACAAAGTGAAACATTTTGATTTACGTATATAAAATATTATCGTTATTACTTAGTAATCGAGAACAAAATGAAACCTACAGGTATTTAAGTCGAATTTCACATATTCAATTTTATTTCGCCTATTTCTATTTAAAGGCTAATTGTTTGACAATAATACATTTACAGGTTACAGACGTTTTAAGCGAGTGCCAATTAGTAAAGAAAAGTTAGCAAAGCATGATAAAGGCGAAGGAATTAATTTAAGGCCAAAGTCAACTAGAATAAAAAATAAGGTGATAAGACAAAAATTAAAAAGGAAAGAGATTGTCTTTAATAACACAGTGAAAGATACTGCCCGTACTGAGTTACTTTTGACAGGAGATTATGGTTGTTTGGAGGCTGATTGTGGAGAAGTAACAGTACAATATACACAAAAACAAATTGTAGACAATGTAGATATAACTGCTGCAGCTAAACGTTTTACATTAAATCTAGAATTTGGACCATATTACATAAAGTATACAAAAAATGGTAGACACTTGGTATTAGGTGGAAGGAAAGGACATGTGGCAGCTTTAGACTGGGTCACAAAAAAATTAGCCTGCGAAATAAATGTAATGGAATCAATCCATGATGTGTCATGGCTTCATATAGAAACAATGTTTGCTGTAGCACAAAAAGACTGGGTATTTATATATGACAACCAAGGAATTGAACTCCACTGTTTAAAAGCAATGAATAATGTTAATAGGTTAGAATTTTTACCTTATCATTTCTTGCTTGCCAGTGGATCTAAAGAAGGTTATTTGGCGTGGTTGGATGTTTCCATAGGCAAATTTGTAAATTCTTTCAACTCTAGAGTAGGAAAAATTGCAGTAAGTTTAAGTATATCTGTAATGATATTGCGTGATATTATTATTATTATTATTATTATTATTATTATTATTATTATTATTATT